ATTTGGCTCTAGAGATGCTAAGTCAAAAAACTAGTCCAGGAGAGACAGAAGTGGAACTCCTTGCTCCCAACGCAGTTCAGAGGGGGGAGGGCACAGGAAGGGAAAAGAGAGGTGGGAGAGGAAAGGGGAAGGGAAATGGAAGAAGAAAAAATCTGCCAGCAGCTCATCACCTATTTTTTTTAAAGCCATTGAAAAATCTTAAGATTTTACTTTTATAATTGATTGGGGGGATACAAAACTTGAATATTTCATGACATAAAAATTCTACAATATTCATATTTCAGTATCCATATATAATATTTTAATGAAACAGTCACACCTGTTTGTTTGCATACTGTCTGTGGCTGTTTTCACACTGTATAAGCAAAGTTGACAATTCAAACCTAAAAGCTTCAAGAATGGTAGGACTGAAAAATACGATGTTTAAATTTTTAAAAGTTACAGCAGCACCCTGGTTCACAAACTTAATTCTTTCCATGATTCTGGTCACAAACAACACTGGATGAGAAATGAATTGAATCCAATGTTAGGTTCAATGTTGATCATATAGGAAAATTTGATTTGGTTCTTGTCCAATCCGTTTTGCAACCAGAATCATGAAAAGAATTAAGTTCATGAACTGACGTACCACTGTATTACAAGAAAAGATATACTGTCATTAATCCCCTCAAAAAAACCCCCCCCTTGCTTTAAACATACTTATCCCTTCACTCTTGCCACTTTCTGAAGCAGTACTCAAAGTTATCTTTCATGAATGTCTTTAGTTGCACTGTTGTGGCTGCACTGATATCCTAAATTGATTCAACATTTATCTTTCATAGTCACTTTGACTCTGGGAAAGAGCCAGATGTCACACAGTGCCAGATCCAGTGAATCAGGTGAATGAGAACACCCTGTTAATGTTTTTTTACGAGCCTGGCTTTTTGTTAGATGGAACGTAGTTGTGGCATTCATTGTATGTCTGATCAGATCTCTCAAAGACACTCACAAAAGAGGACTTCCACCACTGCTTCAGAAAATGGCAAGAATGATAGGTGTGTTCAAAGCAAGGGGGAGTATTTTGAGGAAGATTGATCCCATTGTGTTATTTACTATAATAATTTTTTCTGAAATTTTAAATATTCAACATATTTTTTGATCAGCTCCTGCAGCCTGTATGCCCCAAGGTCTAAAATATTTCCTTAACCTCCCCTTTATAAAAAAGAACTGCCAACTACTCTCCTCATTATATGAACATATGAATATGATGAATATATGAAGTCAGAAGAGAAAGAACATAAGACAAAGGGAAAATTAAAAGTGTATGTCCATACTTTATCATTTCAATTCATAGCAAATAGAGCAAGTGTGGCTGTGCAAAAGGGAGGCGAGATCAGATCTCACACTGTGATAGCAATCCTGTAAATACAAAAATTCTACTATCTTCAAGAACTAAATCTGCTGGGCATGCTGTTGCATATCTATCATCCTAGCACCCTGAGAAGGTGAGGCAGCAGTAGTGCAAGTTCAAGCATAGCCTGACAAACTTACCAAGAACCTGTCTCAAAATTTTTAAATAAATAAATAAATAGATAGATAGATAAAGCTTAAAATGTAGCTCAGTGCAAAGGCTCTGTATTTAATTCCCAGTACTGGCCCCCCAAAGAAATCAACATCTAACCAAACAGAAGACATTCCTCCCTGTAAATCCTATTGGCATACGCTCTCTCCGTTATCAGCCGGATGCAGAAATGAAGCAGGAGACACAGAGATTCCCCCAGCAAGAAACAAATTACAGGGTTCCAATGCTCCTTAAAATATCTTCACCAATCAGAGAGCCCAAGAGAAAGTCGGCAAGAAATGCGCCATTAATGTAAGTTCTAGGTTATAAATCAAACCTCAAACGCTCTTTCCAGCTGGGTCTGATCTTGAGCTACTCCTATGACTCTCCCAGGTCTACTCTTTTATCTGGAAATAAGGCATGCTGACCAATCAGAGGAGTATTATCTATCTCAACTACTAAAACTAGAGGAAAAAACAGGAAGAGAAAAGGGACTGGGAGTGAACAAACTTTAACAAGAAGTTTTACTTTCTTCTTTGGAGTAGACAAGATAAAATTAGAACAGAAATATTCTGTTCTACAATTGAATGCAATGGATTTAGAAATAATTATGAGATGGGATTCAGTGACACTAATCACCAGGAAATCAAGATAGAGATATTACAAAAGAAACACTAAATCTGCTGGAAGATAGAATAGGTAGAGAACTCTTGAAGACACTGGTGTTAGTAAAGACTTTATGATCAAAATTCCAATTGCACAGGAAATATCAAAGAATCTACAACTGGGATCTCATCTTACTAAAAATCTTTTGTACAGCTAAAGAAACCACCAACAGAGTGAAGAGACAACCCACACAGTGGGAAAAAATTTTTGCCAGCTGTTCCTTAGACAGAGGACTAATATCTAGAATATATAAAGAAAAAAATAAATCAAACCCTCCAAATTTAAAGACCCAATCCAAAAATGGGTATCTAAAATGAACAGATACTTCTCAGATGAAGAAATAGAAATGGCAAATAAATATATGAAAAATGTTCAATATCACTGGTCATTCGTGAAATGCAAATTAAAACAATGCTGAGATTCCATCTCCAGAAAAAATGGCTGCTATCAAGAAATCAACCAATAACAAATGCTGGAGGGAAAAAGGAACCCTTCTCCACTGTTGGTGGGAGTGTAGACTGGTGCAACCACTGTGGAAATCAGTGTGGAGATTTCTCAAAAAACTAAGACTAGAGGTTCTATTTGACCCAGCTATTCCCTTTCTTGGTATTTTCCTGAAAGAATTAAAAGCATCACATCACAGTGACATATGCACACTCATGTTTATAACAGCACAGTATGTAATAGCTAAATCCTGGAAACAGTCCAAATGCCCATCAATGGATGAATGGATAAAGAAGATGTGGGTTTTCTTTATACAACGGAGTACTACTCTGCCACGAAGAAGGATAAACTCGAGACATATCGAGGTAAATGGATGCACTTTGAGACTATACTTGTAACTGAAATAAATCAGACACACACGTTCAAATATCACATGGTTTCTCTGGTATGAGAAATTGAAAGTATAAATAAGGACCAAAATGTATAACAGATATTGAGAAATAGGAATAAAATTTCAAATGGGAAGGGAAGCTGGGGGGGCGGGGATAGAAGGGAAAAATGAAAACAAAGCTTTGTAAATAAGGGGAAGAGGGGTTGAAGGGAGAGGAGGGTAAGAGGAACAAAAAGAACCAAGATATATCATGTACAAGTACAAATTCCGTATAATGAATTATCATTATGTATATCTAAAATGTACCAATAAAATTAAATTGTAAAAAAACAGATGGAGAACTAAGAAAGAACCATTTTGAATTCAAGGATGTGAGTTTGTTCCTTCCTTTGAGGGGCTTCTGAAACAAAGACACATATACCCATACGGGGTGTGCTCTGTTTTCTTCCCCTGGGGCAAAAGCAACATTTATTTGAAAAATGTCTGCTATACAAGTAGCCACCCAGGCATTAGTCATGAATATTATCTGTAACAAGGGGTGGGTCAGAACAGTCAGACCCTTCATACCACTATACTCCAATAAAATGTGGTTTGTTTATCAGTTCATATACTTGAAGGCTTGAGACAGTACTGTTCCTTATACCTACAGGGGTAACTTTAAGAAAAAAATACCATGTAGTCCTCTGAAAAGCAAAAATAGTAGAACTGTCAAGTCTAGCTAGAAAGTGTGTATTTTCAACAGGCAGTACGAGTCCACCAATTTGATTTTCAATCTCCTAAAAGATTTTCTCTGATCAGGATGAAATCTAAAGCACTGTGTACTGCAACAAGTTTAAGTTCCATTGTTTTAAAACTTAAGGGCTTCAAACCAGAAGAAAAATCATCAAGACCTGAAGAAAAATATTTTTTAAAACCTACTGAACATTAAAATATAATTACTACATATAAACCAGTAATTTCACTAGTGTGTACATGTAAACATGCCTACATAAACTTGCACACAAATGTTCACAGCAGCATTACAATTGCCAAAAAGTGAAAACAATATAAATATATAACAAAATGTAGTACATGCGTACAGTGAACTATTCGGCAAATAAAAGAAATGCAATAATGATTAATTCTGCAACATGGGTGAAACCTTGAGAATATTACACTACATGAACGAAATGACTCACAAAGGACCACGGATTCTGTAATTCTATTTATAGAAGTTTCAGAATGGGCAAATCTATAGAGAGAGAAGGCCCACTAGTGACTGCGAAGAGCTTGGAGGAGGAAACATGGGAGAAGTAGACTGCCAGTTGGTACATGGTTTCTTTATAGGCTGATGATAATGCTGTCATGTTAGAAGAATAGTGGTGGTAGCTGTACAAGTCTGTAAACAGATTAAAGAGCACTGAAGTGTGCACTTTATTTGAATGGGCACACTTTATTTGAATTTTACAGTATGTGAATGATATCCCACTAAAAGTGTTATGATTAAAACTTAAAACTGTATTTCTTCACTAAAATGACACATACAACTTCGTGTTTTAGATGGCTACTACAGAGCTATAAAGTAAAACCTCATTTTTGCTGCAATCAGTTTCTATATAAAGAAAGAAGAGTCAAGTTTAAGAAGGGTTAACAGATTCCCTTTTGAGGTGATTCTCACTGTATTACTCTTCAAATGTGGGGGTGACAAGTTTCAATGTCTTGTGTTCATAGGGAAAATATATTTCATTATAATCTTCAAGAGAATCATGTAGGGGAGCCCATTCCAAACCTGTGCTGTGTGGTACCCACTATGTATCTATGAAAGCATAATCACACACTCACGGTTCTGTAACAGAACAAAAGAGAGGGTAAAATACTATTGTATCCCCACACTGTAACAAAAACCTAGTCCATAAATCAGATACAACAAACAAAGCTAAACACTTTCTATGCCCATACAGCCCTCTTGATGTCACTTACCTCCTGGGTCTTTGGGCCTTGTTTCATCTTAGGGGTAGGACCTCCATTCCCTACAGCCACCTGGTCAAAGTTTGAACTTGATCTGGTCTTACTCAGAAAATCCACTTCATCATCAGCTTTTGTGTCTGGCATTTCTGAAGAAAACAAGGTGTGGGGCAGGGGGGTCACAGAGTGAGGCATTTGAAAAAAATTGATTCTTGTGACTATTTACACAATAAGCTCCAGGTTTCATGTGTTTGTTTTTGCCTTAAATGGAAAAGTATTCTGCTGTTGGGCGCTGGTGTAACTTCTGGCCCTGTATCGAGCTTCTCCTCTATCACGCAGTTGTGTGGTTTTCCCTACCCTTTTCACGTGTTTGGAGCTTCAAGACGACCCGATTCAATGTCTACTCAATGTCCACTTTCACTGACTTCATGACAAATCTAAAGAGTACAGGGCTGACTTGCATGTGGGAAAACAAATTCCTAAGCTGTAGGGAACAGATTAACACCTGAAACTAGGTAGTCCATCTTGACTAACATCAATAAGGTCAGAGATTTGTTCAAGAGGAAAAAGCTACTCCGAAATGAGACAAATCCTCTGGAACAAATCTGACTTTCTTTCATAATACACTACATACCCTGATCTACCCACTGCTGCAACAAGTAAGGCTAAACTATCCTTGAATTTATTTGAACTTTTATTTCTTCCAAAACCAAAACAATCAAAACCTAGCAATTCCTTTTCTTCAGAAAACGTTTTATACATGTTTGCTCTGGCATCACAGTTGTCCTTTTGCTGGCTGTGCTATACAGACCAAACAATAATAGTCTTTGTTACCTGGCCACCACATTGTTAACCAAATACAGGAAGAAGGTGATGAAGATTTTTTTCAAGAAAAATTTAAGCTACTGATACCTTCTTAAAAAGGGACAGATAACAGTCAAACTTCATCTCAATATCCCAATACAAATGGAACTGTCATATCATTTTCATGCGAAAGTTTTCCTTTGGTGGTTATTCATCTAGTGATCCCACCACTCTCACAAATAAAAATGTTTCCTACACCCAAGAGCAGAGAAGTTTCTTTTGGGAAAAAAATTACATTAATATATTATTCTAGGGCAGGGGATTTAGCTCAGAGGCAGCATGCCTGCTTGCAAGCGCAAGGTCCTGAGTTCAATCCCCAGTACAAAAAAAAAAAAGAAACAAAGATATTATTCTAATAGCACATGTTCAAAAGGTCCCTTTGATTTGGTAAAGTTACAATCAATCGCATGAACAAACTTCATAAATCTCCTTTCTCTGAGCTTATAATTATATATTCTTACTAGTAATTTAAAAAATGGATAGATAAGTTTATTTGCCAAGAGAATAAAATTCTGTTAAACTTCATAAAATGTAACATTTAAAAATTTTTTTGACTGAGCAATCTCCTTAGAAGTATACCTTGATCAAAATATTTCTTAAAATAATGGGGGAAGGTGGTTTTTATTTTATTCATTTGGGGATGTGGTTTTTGGCACAACCTTACTTTCCTATACCTGTCCACAGAAAATATGTATCTTGGCAACAACAACCATTCACAATGGTAAACAGTGATTACTAAGACTTGAGGGGTGCTGACAACTCTGAAGAACTGGCATGGCTGTGCAGGCACCACCAGCTTCCTAAGCACTGTGATCAAGGCTTCGATGGGTGAAGGACCACATCCTTTTCTAACTGGCTCCTTCCAAATCATGCTCCATGCTCATAAAACAACATAATTAAATCCATGAATAGAATGTAAACTTCATAGAAAATATCCTTTAGCTCTGATATCGCACTCAGGGGCTTTTTCTCTAGGGATGTGACCACGGACTTTCCCACTCCTGACTGATTTCTGAAGAAAGCACAGATTTCTTCACCACTGGTTACTTTTTCAATAGTTTGAGACCATGACCATTGACCCTATTGTGACTGCTCTGGTAGCAGAGTAACTAACACCTACACAAAATATACCAATGCCAAATCCATATATACTGTTGAAATTTGGTATACTTCTTCCATCTTAAAGCTTAAAAACCTTAAAAATATCGCTTCTCGGCCTTCTGGCTAAGATCAAGTGTAAAACCTTAAAAATCATTCTTTAGTATCTTTATATTATAAGCTATTAAAAATCTAAATCTGAAATTCTCCGTTTTTACCTTTTCTCACAGAGAATATCCTAATAGTTTACAGTACCTAGGGTTAAATTCTGACCACAGCCAAAAGGAGAAATAATTCTGGCCCATGTGGCAAGGACAGAGAACCCAAATGAAAAGAACATAGCCAGGTATCAACTTACAGCCACTCCCATTCTTCTGAAATGCCAACCTGCTAGGGGTCCCCAAAATAGACTTGTTGTTGTGGCTTATTTTAAAAAAATTAGAGACCTGATCATTTAAATTCGGATATAGCAGCCAACACATTTCTACTGCTACAAATCTAAAACAACAAATCTAAAAACCTGAAATCATCCAGAATTCTACGTAGGTTCTTAAATCCCTCAGGGAGAGAAGGAGACAAAAATTGGTAAAAATCCTTAACAGGGAAAAATACACTGTGTTCAAACTGTTCTTGCTAAGCCACTTCTTTTCTTGTTTGTTCTTTTCTTTTTACACCCCACCCCCACACTCTTAACATGCACTACACTTAAAAGGATTATCAACAATTAAAAAGAACAGCAAAAATAATTAAACAATAAAGATAAATAGGTTACCTCTTACCTACAAAAGCATAGGAGCAGGCATTTGGACAGGTCCTGTGTCTACAGCTGGGAGCAGGTAGTGGTATAAAAGTATGCATCCAACTGACCTTTAAAACTTCAGAAGTCAAGTCCAAGTCTGACTCCAGTTTCAGCTTCAGTCTCAACCCGAAATAAGAAGTTTTAATTCAGATAGTTTATTTCCCCTGAGCAAGAGTGGTTTCTTTTTGCTGTCTCTGGACATGGTTTCCCATAGATGGAACAGGCTGCCGTGTGAGCAATCTGCTCGGTGCAGCTGCTTCACCAAGATAAGCAGACACAAGGTCTGCCCAATGACAGCAGCTCAGCATGCTGGGCTTGGGCGGAAATCCTGCATTCTATCCCCTGCGCTGTGCAGAGTCCTGAATTCCCAGACTCTGCCCAAAAGAAACAGGCAATGGAACTGGAAGTTGCTCCTTGGTCAGGAAAAGGAGGGAACCACCCCTCAAGCAAACCAATGACTTAATGCCACCATTTTGGATGCTGGGCCATCAGCTTAAAATGATAATTACATCTGCTCATGAAACCAATCTGACTCTAAATGTGCTCAAAATTCAGACTAGGATGACAGGGAGGAAGGGAGTTTTAAGCTTGTAAATAAAACACATCCTTTGCAGCATTATTTTTTTTTAATAGTTCTAAAAAGGAGTAGGCCATGTGAATAAAAACATCTGCTAAATACCTTTATCTTTTTAAGGTATCTGTGATTTAAGCATTGTCTTTTAGGTTTGGAAAGTTGCACTTGTGACTGTGTGATAGACAGAGCATTTATAGGTTTAAGTAATCAAGCTATGAGTCTTCAGTACAGGAAGTAAAATCTTCCCAACCCTAAGAGGATATGAATCTCCCCTGATGGTGGTGAAATTATCTTGGCGACCTACTCAATGAGCAAGCAAGACCTTAAAATAACCAAAACATCTATATTTTTACTAGCATACCACAGAGACTCGGAAAGGAACCTGCCTCTGAAACTGTTAATTTTGTATTTTGCTTCGCTTACCTGTTGCTGGCTCCAGCCCCTGAACAGACATGATCTTCTCTGGCTCTTCCCTTCCAACAAAGCCTCCTCCTGTGAGGTTCCCTGTGCCTTCTTCACAAACACTATCCTTTTGCAGGATCTGCCCAGATAGGAAAGCACACACCTTCTCTGTAGAAGCCTTCTCTGGTATTTCAGTCACAGGGTCTGACTCAGGACTGGACAGTGATATGTGACTGATTTCTCCATCAATAATCAGCACTCCCGAGGCCTTGATTCGTTCGATGACAGCTTCTACTATACGACTGGCAGCCTCCTCTAAGTCTGCTCCCTCAGGCACATGCGCAGCTTGGGCTGAGACCACATAAGGCAGAGAGGGAGCACCCCTTTGCTTGTCTGAGCCTGAGGCCTGTGTGACTTCCCTCCTGCCAGCTGAGGTCTTGTCATCAAAAGTTGAGAGCCCTGTCTCTGTGGGGAGTTCCATGGCAACAGGCTCCAGTGCTTCATCATCCTTTTGTACCTCCTTGGAGTCACCTGTGATACAGTTGTGGTCTGCTTCCTCCAGCTTCTCTTTCTTCCAATCAAGAGGTACCACTGCTGGGGTTGTAGCTTCCTGTGGATCACTCACGCCTTTGTCTGGTAAAGCTCTTGGCAAACTCAGGGTCATACTCTTCTCCTGGTTCAACAAAACTTCTGAAATTGGGGTGTCTTGGGTGTTGTGTGGTATATCCTTTCTTCTAGGCCCTGCAGGACTTTGCAGGGAATTAACCTCTGGAACATCCAGTGTCACATTTCCACTCACTTCACAGGCATTGGTTTTCCTCTGGGATTCAGTGTCCTTCACTTCAACATCCAGAGCAAAAGGTCGACCGCCATTAAGTCCCTCAGACACATCTGGCAACACATGTGGCAGGACAGGTAAGCTGTTCTGCTCTGTACCAAAGGCTTCCTGCCTCGAGTGTGCAACCAGACTTGTTCCTGGTGATAGCAGGCTCTGTATGGCCCCACCTTCTGTCAGCAGGGAGACGTGTGGGGACACTTCCTTGTTATGTTCAGTTTCTGCCTTAAGGCAGGCAGAGGCTGTGACAAGTGAATTATTGTGCTGAAGTGCTTTGTCCTCTGTACATGCAGCTGAGATAGGCTTTTCACAGAATCCCGGTGCCTCCTGTCCAGGTGGTGGTTTTCTCTGCACTTCCAGCAACATTCTTGAAGAAAGCTTGTCTTCCTTAATGGAGGAGCAAGTCACTGATTTATCCTTGTCATCTTGTCCCTGCATTGCAGAGCTTTTGGGAACTGCCTGATTTTTTCCTTCTTCAGTCAAAATTGAGTCAGAGGCCAAAGTGCCCTTATCCATACTTAGCAGGGAACAGTCAGCCAGAACTTCAGGGGATGCTGAGGGGCCAGGGCTCTTGTGCTCCCCAGCTAGAACTCCAGGACTGGTATTCCCCATGCTGGGCTGAAGATCTACAGCAGCAGAGGATGTGGACAGGCCTACAGTGCTGTCTTCTGGCAGCTGTTTATCAGGATGATCCAAATCTCCTCCAGCTGGGCCACCTCTATACACTATAGGCCTATGTAGTTCCGGGGTTGCTGTTCCCTTTTCTTTGTGGGAGGGGATAAAAGGAAGTACGTCATCTTTGGTTACTGATTCATTGCCTTGACTGCTTGCCAGAGAGAAAGTGCTGCCTGATGGTACTGCCTGGTCTGCCTTGAATTCTTCCTCAGTTTTAGAAACAAGTGGATGCAGATGTAAAGCGGCCTCAAGCACAGTTGTTAAAGGTGTATCTAGTTTCAAATCTTTTCTTTGGCCTTTTTTATCCAAAGCTTCAAGAGGACAAAAATCCACATGTTCTTGGACATCTACTAAAGGGTCAGAAGGGACTGTATTTGCTTGTGGGTCTTCCTGGCAGACAGCAGTAGGTGGGTCTTGTGTGTTGGGCTGCCCTGCTGTGGTGATTCCAGGCTGGTCAACTATGTCACTGCAATGTTCTGCAACCAACTCAACACTAGAAGTCACTGTGTTCTGTTGACATGCAGAGTCAGCGCAAAGTTTATCATCTCCAGTTATAGAACAAACCAGTGATTTGCTGTTTTGGCTTTCAATAGGAGAGTTCATTTTTGATTTCTGGTTTGGCGGCACATCTTTTTCTATCCCAGAAAAGGTTAACTCCGAGGGTGATACTGCCTCACAAATGCCTGCTAGAGGAACATCCAGTACTAATCCATCTGAAATCTTGTCTTTTGCAGCAGCTGGAGTTACCTGATCTCTGAGAGTATCAGCATGTTCCTCACAACTTCTCAAAGTTTCAGCTTCTGCTGTTTTTTCACCAGGGATTTCTCCAAGACTAAATGCAAGTGAAGAATTATCAGGTTTGTTGCCATCCAGGGCTCTGGGGGCAGAGGCAGGGCTCGGAACACTGGCTTTATCCATAGGCTCACTGATGACCTGTATGTTGGTGGCTTCAGCTGTGCTGATATTAGATTTCTCAAATCTTTCCTTTGTACTTTCTGCTGCTTCACGCAGACCCTTCTGGATAGTGGCAGAACGCTCTGAGGCACTGACATCTGTTGAACTGCCTGCCAGTTTACCTCCAGCGGAATGCTGGGCTTTGCCCAGCTCCATGACCATGTCTCCCTGCAGCAAACTCTCTGTGTTACACAGAACCTCCTGATCTGTGGTCATTCCAGAAGATGTTGTTCCAGTTTCTTCATTTCTGTTTCCACAGGATAAAAGGCCTTCCATGCCTTTTACTTCAGAGTCAGGCATGCTCTGAAGGCTGTTGTCTCGATCACACACAGTTTCCAAGTCCACAACAGGTGTGAGCTCCACCTCTTCCCCCTTTCTCTGCACATCTGTATTTTTATTCCTATAAGAACAGTTTGTATTCTCTTCCTCAATCATATGTGACAAATCACAGGAACTTTCAATCTGTTCATCAGGGCTCCCTTGGCAGCACAGGCTGGTCTCAGTCTCTTCAAGAGAAGAAGAAAGCTGCTGGCTGTCTGAGAGCTCTGTTGCACAGGAAAGAATCTGGCCATCAGTCTCTGGGGCAATGGGCAGACTGGAAGGATCCTGAGCTGTCACCATGGTGGGCATAAGATTGTCCATTTGCCTGAGGTTTGTTTTCTAGGAGGAAATCAAAATACACATAAAAAACTGTCTGTGAAAAAAGATGTCACTAATACCTATAAGCAAAAGTCTACTGAACAAAACTCACTCTTTCTGATCCTTGTAGGGTCACACAATAATTGGATCTAAGCAAATACAAATTAATTTTTTTCTCATTTCTGATATCACTTTCCTTTCTCATACCTACATAGCCACTGAGATGTTAAAAATGACTTAGAAAACACATAGTTGCCAGGTGTGGTAGCACATGCCTGTAATCCCAGCACTCAGAAGGCTGAAAGAGGACGAATGCTGTGAGGCCAGCCTGGGCTCCATAGTGAGTTCAAGGCCAGCCTCAACTACATAGCGAAACCGTCTAAAAAGAAAATATACACTCATACACATAGTAACTATTTTTCTACATTTTGAACTACTTAAGAAAGGATTAAAATTGAATCTCAAAAATTTTAATTTAAAATAGGCATTCTAAACATATTCAAATGAGCAAGCTGAAGATATTTTTAATAAGAGTTTTTAAAAGAGCACAGCCAACTTCCATTCCACCTAAGGTAAAAACAAATTATAAGTGCTTTCATAAACTCTTCAACTATAAAATACAGCTGAGTGCTCCTGTACCTTAAATATAGTAATACCTCAGTTACAAAACACTTCAGTTCTCAAACTGAAGTGTTCAGCAAAACTTTGCTTCCATTCGCAAACTACACACCTGGTGACAAACATGAAAGCAGCCATCTTCCCCAGAATCAGGTAACAAATTAAGTTTGTAAACTGAGGTACGACTATACTTATTGTGTACATTTGTACACAGTGTCCTTTAATCCCCAAAATATGGTCATCTCAGTTCAGTTTAAATATTTCAGTTTTAGGTTCATATTTTCAAGAACAGTGGCATGGTAGATGTAACTGCTTTTGATCATGTCTTGCACTATGGGCACAATCTCTGCTGATATGTGAGAAATTATTTCTGATTTCATTTTTTCCAGATCCTCTTTCGTTGCCAGTTCAGGGAATCCAGGTGATTGAGTATCAGATTGTTCCATCTCATTTCCCCTTGGGGTTGCTTTAGGTGATTTCGAAGTCTGGTTTTGAGACTTGTTTACATGTCTTCTCATTTCGATTGGGGGGCATGTTGCTGGCACCCTCTTGGGTCACCTCAGCACTGGGGGCACCTCTGCTCCTCGGCTCTGGGGCTGCAATTTGGTATTTTCAAGTGGACTACCATTCACTTAGTAAAAAAGAGCTCTAAGAGAAAAAACTGATTTCCTGAGCAGTCCATTTAAAGGACAATGACTGCTTTAGAAAAAACATGATTTTTTAAAGGCAAAGGCAGGGCTCAGTGATGCTGTGCTTGCCTTGCAAGTTCAAGGTCCTGAGTTCAATCGCCAGTACAAGGGAAGGACAGGGAAGGGGAGGGGGAGGGAAAGGAGGGGGAGAGAGGGGAAGAGATGAAGAGAGAGGGGGAGAGGAAGAAAGGGGGAAGGAGGGGGAGAGACACAGGCAGGCAAAGGCAGGCATGCTGACACCCCTACTATAGAGTCTCTTGGCCTGCTGACTTTAGGAATAATGCCTGCTCCAAAAGAAGATGCTGGCACTGAGCTGACTCTAGGCAATCTTAAATGAAATCATTATCAAGCTTTTTCCAAATCCAATCAGCTCTGAAATAAACTGGATGGGAAAATAATCTCAACTTAGTCCTTCAGATGATATGGCCAAGAGAGATGCATCCATATGATGTCTACATTATCCATAATTTATACTATCAAAGAGTCTGTCATGCTTTTATGTCTTAAAGGATCTTTATCTTGCAGAATTGAGTGGATTATAAAATCTTTATTTTTGGTGATCCTTTAAATCATTTAACTATCAATTTAAATACAGTAATATTATCATCACTCACTAAAATAGCTGTGAAAGGATTTACTGATGATTAAATTTGGTTCTTGTTCTTTAGCAACAGTCTCATAAACTGGTTTTCTTCACTTAGTTTATAAAGTTAAAGAAACATAGACATATTATATTGCCAGGAAATTCAGTTCTAGTTGTTGCATATTTCTATGTTTGCAACAGGTATATTTTTCATTACTTTAGAAATATGGGCCGTTCCACCGCTCCCAGCCCAGAGGTAGGGGCTTCTGGGCCACCATTCCACCACTCCCAGTGCAAAGGAGGTGAGCCATGTGGGCCCCAACAGCATCCCCCATCCCCCATTGAAATGAGAAGGCACGTAAACAAGGCTCAAAAACCAGACTTCCAGATCACCTACAGCAACCCCAAAGGGAAACGAGATGGAACACTGATACTCAACCATGTGGACTCCCTGAACTGGCAACAAAAGAGGATCTGGAAAAAATGAAATCAGAAATAATTTCTCACATAACACCAGTGATTGTGCCCATAGTGCTCATGATTAATAGACATGATTAATAAATCTAGAGAGGACACGAATACAAAAATAGAGGAGCTGAGAAACATGATGGAATCCCAACATAGGAAACAAATGGAATCCATAAAAGATACAAACATATTTCCACGAATTAAAAACTCCACTGAAAGTCTACACAGCAGAATGAGCCAATGTGAGGACAGAATGTGAGATACAGAAGATAAGAT